GATCCCCCTCGTATTCCCTCCCGATTCCCCCCGTATTCCCCTCCAGATTCACCTCGTATTCCCTCCAGATTCACCTCATATTCCCCTCCAGATTCACCTTGTATTCCCTCCAGATTCACCTCATATTCCCCTCCAGATTCACCTCGTATTCCCTCCAGATTCACCTCGTATTCCCTCCAGATTCACCTCGTATTCCCTCCCTCGGATGTATGTGCGTGACGTCGTATGTTAGAGATCTGACACCCGTGTGTGACGTGCAATCCGCATACAACGTCATTATTCTGAATTCATTTATATGACCCGAAATCCTCCACACAGGTTCCGGCAGGAAATCCAACAATGAGGCGGCTGCTGCGGAACCTCTTGTGATCATATAATGGAGGAGGCAGTAATGTGATCATGTGACCAGTGTGATCATGTGACCAGTGTGATCAGGTGACCAGTGTGATCAGGTGACCAGTGTGATCAGGTGACCAGTGTGATCAGGTGACCAGTGTGATCAGGTGACACATATTGATCATATAATGGAGGACGCAGTAATGTGATCATGTGACCAGTGTGATCAGTGTGATCAGGTGACACATATTGATCCAATAATGCAGTAATGTGATCATGTGACATACACTGACCGTATAATAAACGAGGACTCAACAATCATTATATCACGGACTGGGTTTATTATCTGCGCTCGCAGTGCGCTCACACACAGTCAGCCTGCGTTGTCCATTGACATGCTGAGGACCCTTTAAGACTCCAGGAAGTGCCCGCCCCCTGCGCAGCGTAATAAGCAGGTATGTTATAATACAAAGCATCTAGAAGAAGTCCGGTGTGTCCTATACGGGAATTTCGGACCTCTTCATCCTGGCGGGAGGATTGCCCAGTACTGCATAGAATAATATTTGCCCCGGGGCCCCTGGACCAGTTCTCATGGGGTCACGCGGGGTCATCGTTATATAAAGTGAACTTTGGCTTTACCTTGACCGCCATGTTCCGTTTTCGGATGGTGCTTTTGGGGGAGAAGCTGTCCAAGTTGCTGCGATCCTCATCCAGCTGTCTGGCCGTACAATTCGGCGTTGGAACTTTCACCGTGTTACCGAACTTGGAATAGTCCACCGAGTACCTTCCGTCTTCCTCGGCCACAATGGGGACGAAACGTTGGCCCCAGAGGATCTCGTCAGCCAAGTAGGAAGTTCTGGCTTGGGTGGTGATGCCGGTGGTCTCCACCACCCCTTCCAGGATGACAATGATCTCCAGGTCCTCATGGTGGGTGAGGTCGGAGGATGAGATGTTGTAGAGGGGACTGTCCTTATTGATGGTGTGACAGATGATGAGCGGTGACACCAGGAATATCCCGTTGGTGCTGATGGGATTCTCCATCTGGATATCAATCTGGTTGAGGGGCAGAACTTCACCCTCCATGCTGCTGGACTTCCTGACCACCTGCATGTGGATGGTGGCACTGATGATCATGCTCTTCCTCAGGTCACCCACCCGGAACATGAAGCAAAGCTTACCGTTCCTGAGGCCGATGACGGCGTGCTTGCTGAAGATGAGGGTCTCGGCTCGGCGATGGGCCTGCGCCGTCTTCATGAAGATACAACCCAACATGATGGCATTGATGACCAAGCCCACAATATTCTGGACGATGAGGACCAAGATGGCAGCAGGACATTCCTCCGTTATCATTCGCCCACCGAAGCCGATGGTGACCTGCACCTCGATGGAGAAGAGGAAGGCGGCTGTGAAGGACTGGACGCTGGTCACGCATGGCACGAAGCTCTCCTCGTTGTTGTCCAGGTCGCCATGGGCGAAGGCGATGAGCCACCAGCACATACCAAAGAGGAGCCAGGTGCAGAGGAAGGACATGGTGAAGATGAGGAGGGTGTAGTGCCACTTGAGGTCCACCACGGTGGTGAAGACGTCCAGCAGGAAGCGGCCCTGCTCCCGGATGTTCTTGTGGGCCACATTACAGGCGCCGTTCTTGGCCACGAAGCGCGCGCGGCGTTCCTTCTCTTTGTACCGGGGCTCATTGATGTCCTCGGCCAGGCGGGTGGTCAGCACATACTCCTCGAGGATGATCCCCTTCCTGGACAACATGACTATTCCATGCCACCGATAAAAGGAACTGCAACCCAGGTCTGCCCGCAGCCCCTCCACACCATCTGTCCCTGCCAATCACCAGGGTGGGTGAGGGGCTGAGGAACTGCAATGCTGGGGGCCCCTCTCACCCCCACTGCCACCAGGGGCCCCGGAGACAAGACAAGCCCTGAAAATCACCTCCGATCCGGCCCCGTTACAGCGGAAGAAACGACAATGCGGCCGATGAGACAACCGAGGAGTCAATGAGCTCCGCAGAGCCGGTGAGCGGCGATCCCGACATCGGCCACCAGAGGGCGCCCCAGACCGGCGGAGAGAGTGACAGGGACACGGCCATGGGGGGCGACATCATGTATAATAGTCCAATACTGGAGCCCGACAGGGACACGGCCATGGGGGGCGACATCATGTATAATAGTCCAATACTGGAGCCCGACAGGGACACGGCCATGGGGGGCGACATCATGTATAATAGTCCAATACTGGAGCCCGACAGGGACACGGCCATGGGGGGCGACATCATGTATAATAATAGAGTGATATATAATATAATAGTCCGGTACCGGATGTAACCTCGTATATAATGTAAGTCTATCGGAAGTGACGGAGATCCAGACCCAAGTTATATAATACAGGAACGTTATACTTCCACACTATTATTATACATGCATATAGCTCTGACATATACCGCAGCGCAGTACAGAGATCAC